TGACATCGCTCAAATAGTCCCACCATCATCATCGAAGAACTAGCGTTGATCATCCTATCTGGTGCTCAGCGCCCAGACTACACGTGGCAGATCCCATCTAGCCTATACTATGAAGCCGAAAGATGACATCAACAGCATTTCCGAAGTACGAGCATATGTCGGACGCCGTCTTTCTGCCTCGATCACCAGGTATGTCTCTCTTATCACTCACAACCTCGGCCCCACACACAGATGCCACGTGTCTCCATCTCTCCTTCTGTCCTCTCTCTCTTTCTTTCTCTCTCCTCCCCTTTTCAATCTCTCTTCTTACTTGATCTCTCCTCCCTTTCCCAGTCTCTTTTCTCTCTTACTACGTGTACGTGTGCTGCATACAGTAAAAGTGCAGTCCAGAACAAGAACCGACCTCTCATGCACAGTATGAGGTAGCGTAGCGGAGACTTAGTTACCAATGATCCGATCAATTAGCACCACAATGCAGCCCCGTCGTACATCATCATCGTTTGCGTGGTGTGAAGGGGCGTGGCGCTCACACAGGAAGATGCGCCAGTCCCGCCATACACAGACGAAGAGGAGGGGTCAGACGAAAGGAGAGGAGAGATGAGAAGGTCGTTAACACCAAGACTTCGCTACAAGTACCAGATAATCCCTCGTCAAATGTCTGACTCCCATGTCGTGCCCGAATCCTATGTCGTTAAGTCCCGAGTCACAACTCTCCCCCTTCTCTCGTAGTCTGCAAATGCAGTGAAGTCAGATGTTTGAGAGGGGGGAGAAGAAGATCGTGGAGTGCGAGGAGGAAGAAGAAAAATTATCTCTCTCTCTCTCGCACACACACACATTACATCGATAGGATGAGCAAAAACGGAATGAATCTTCCGCCAAAACGTGGAAACGTACACTGTCACTTCTTGATTTGCTCATTCTACCGATCCAAGTACCTTGCGGCAAGCCGCGGGTAGGAAACCTGTAGGCTTTCACACATCCACACACACACATATACATACGAGTGCACGGGTGGCCATCTTGCTGACGAGTCAGGACGATAGCGTGACAGCAGGCGAGCCCGAGCGACGGTGTCTATTCCCATGCTGCAGCTGGAGATTCGATCGATTTTGCTCGGCGCATCATCGGAGGTAGCGCAAGGCTGCATGGAGGTAGGAATACACACACTCTCACTCACACCCGGATACACACGAATATCCATGATGATGCATGGGGTAGCGTTAGGCTAGTCGTGGGGTAGGAGACTTACCCCTTTCCTTTCTCTTCTCCCCGTCGTTGTCTTCCCCCGGTCGACTAGTTACTCTCTCTCCAACACGATCTGCCGCGTTGCGCCTCATGTCGAAGGCATGGCGTGGGAGTCGACCGTCACCAAGTTGATCGGGTAAGTCTCCCTCTTCACCCTTTTCTTATCCTCTCCTTCTTTTTTTTTTTTTTTTCTTCTTCTTCTTCTTCCTCTTTCTTTGCTTCCGCCGCTATTTCTCTCTTCTCCCTCTAAATGATAAGGTTCAATGATCCTTCACATCACCCCCAGCGGCAACCACCTAGATTAATGCGATCCAAACACTTCATTGGACTATTCAATCGGTAGGAGTGACGACGGCGTGTACAAAGGGCACGGACGTAATCAGCGCGAGCTGACGACTCATGCCTACAAGGCATTTTCTCGTTAAAGACCGGTAATTACAACAGTCTATCCATATTAATAAATAAAATATATAGATATAAAATAAACAATAATAAATAATAGTAGAAATAACAATATAATAATAACAATATTAGTAATAAGTAAGTCATAATAAATGCATTCTAGCTACCCCTATAGTCAGATACAGTCATATTGGTCTTTTCACGACGGCTACGATGATGGTCAGGAATCTCTCTCTCTCTGTCGTAGTCTGCTGATATTGAGAAGTCAAGCGGCGAGAGGGTGAGGGACAGATGGACTTAGAAGAGGAAGAAGAAGAACCCTCTCTCTTTCTCTCTCTCTTCCTCTCCCTCACACACACACACACACACACACACACACACACTTCTCACGCACGCACTCACGCACGCACACACTCACACACACATGTAAGTGCAGTAATGCACACTTCCTTGTCCTACCGGTAGATTCATTGGATTATGCCCATCCCATTGGCAGAAGTAGTCGGGTYGTAGCGTGATCGTCACKCRTTCGCGCACACGTACGAGCACACACCCACATCTCCATCGATACTCACCTACACATACTCACATAGGTAGCGTGGTAGTATTCATCCAACCGAGGGAAGCATCGACGATTGGTCGCGAGATTGAAAACTTACCCGTTCTCAATCTCCCGCTCTGTCGTCGTCCTCGTTGTAGTCAGCGTCGTCGTCGTCATCGTTGCTGCACCACGCTCAGGTAAGTATTATCCTCCTCCTTTATCCCTTCTCCTTCTTCTCTCTTCCTTTCCTCTTCTTCTTCCTCTTTCCCCTCTTCGTGATAAGGTTTTGATGAACTTTTCAAAGCACCCTTGGCGAACAAACCGACGAGATCACCGCAGTCCAGACACCTCACCGGATCATTCAATCGTAGGAGCGACGGCGGTGTATTCAAAGCGCAGGGACATAATCAACGCGAGCTGATGACTCACGTTTACTAGGCATTCCTCGTTCAAGATCGATAATTCTCTCCCGTCGCGTTGAATCCCCTTCCTTTCTCTTCCTTCTCCTACTCTCTCCTCCTCCACCTTCCCCTTCTTCTACTTGTCGTCACGCTTGTCTGACTGCACGCGCTTCTTCCTCGCGCTACCTCTCCGCGTGATTCTCGCTCTTTTTCCTACTCTCCCGATGTGTCCAGGTTGCGCCCCCGGTTTCCGAGCTCCGTGAGCACCTGGCGTCGATGTCCATGCCGCCCATCACTCACGATCTTGGTCAGTTCGTTGGCTGTGTTACCAACTGCATCCGCCCTGTTTTCCGTGGTAGATTCGTAAAAATGAATCCACCAAGAAGATCACAGACGGAATTCGAAAGAAAGAAAACTAATAAACGGAAAACGAAATCTAACTAATAAACACAAAAGAAAAGAAATAAAAGAAAACAAAAGAATCTATCCACTAACCACCTTGCCTTGCCAAGTGGCATGCCCCGTTTTCAAACGGGGCTAACTGTAATCTACTGAACCTACCTAAGTCGGATCTATAGGTCGTGGGTTCGAGCCATGGCTAACTCAACCGATTGAAGACTAAAATAAAGCTCCTCATAAAAGGGAGCTAGCTTTGGTGGCTGGRCAAATTTGATCCTCGGGTTTGTCGCATGATAACTTTGCACCAATACCTACTGAGCTAGCTCCCACTTCGAAAAGTAAGGGAGCCGCTCTGGTATCTATAAAGCCCTGGCTCAACCCAACTAGCGGCATGAGCCTATTTCGAAGTGCGTGTGTGTGTATGCGTGCCCGTCCGCACGCCTGTCGGTTTGAATATGTGTGTGTGTGTGGCCTGCAAGGGTACTTGGATGCTTGGGAGGCCCAACAAACCGGTACTTACCTGTAACCGTGACATCGAGGGTCGTGGCCGGGAAAACACTCAAGTGGCAGGAAAAGAAGCCTACGACATTTTAGAGTAGCGGAAAACACTCAAGTAGCAGGTAGGTCGGTACCTCACTAAGTAGAGGTAGATGCAACGGGTACTTGACTCGGAGGCCGAGTAGGAAAAGACAAAAACCGAAATTTTCAGAACCCCCAGTACTGGAAGGAAGACAGACACCGGACCAAGTCTCAGTGCGTGTCATAGTCCTAACTGACACAATCATCAGTCCAACTGACCCTTCGACCTCTTCCGTCGAGGGGCACTACTGCCGATCCTAATCACCACGGCGCGCGTTATAGTAACGCACGCACGCACTTAACGAAATTTTCTCAACGATTTTTGCCCCAGCCTCAGTGCCCGATGAATTTTGCTCCCAGTGTCACGCCAAGCGTGCACACCCCTCTTGTTTCCAGACAGGCTACGTCATGGTAGCCGACGTCGTCATCGTGCCGAATGCAAAGACATGGCAAAATACCCTTGTAAGGGTATTTTGTCCGACAGTATCCCAGACCTCATTAAGCGACGTCCCCGTCGCTTGGAGACTGTATGCAAATAAAGGTGTTTTCTGACAAGCAATTTGTCAAATCCGAATCCTGGAATGAAATGTGGTTTCAGGATTGACGCCGTCACCTTACTTTTCATTATTACTGCCGGGATTTTAACCCGGGTCTCCCACATAAAATATAATAACTGAAAGTGGGGATACTTGATCTGTACTACAGTACATGAAATAGTTCAGTATGACAACGCATCTTTCCTTTCCCCATACCCTTAGTCTTTGGTCCGGGTATTCGTTGGTTGTTTTCAGGGCTAGTGTTCTCGTACGAACTCAACCTGTCAAATGCGGGTCTTAACTGAGACCTTGGGTGTTCAACTCTTGATATCACAATCCAAAGTTGCCTGTCATCCTGCCCGAAGCCTAATACAGAAGGACAACAGTCTCCATCCTGACCCACCACAGTCCTCCTGATCAGACCGGAGCTGAGGCCCACCGCGTTGTTGCTTATCGGTGGTTACCCTCGTTCGTTGCGCAACGAGGGGATATTCATCCTATCTTTAAAAAATTTCTAATCTCGACCCCTTCGACATCCACCTGAATAGATCCTTTCATTGGGGTGGCCACCCCTCCAGTTTCTCTTCTAGGCCATAGTCGAAGAGTTCACTGCCTGGTTATGCTAGGTCAGCAGCCCACGCTGGGAGTTACGTCCCAACGATGCTAATTTTCCACCAGGCTTGGTAATTTATGCCCTCAGGTTAACCCTTGAGGTGGATGAACGATGCTTTTTAAATAAACCAAATAAATGAGATTTTCAATAATTAAGTATTCGTCAGACTGCCACTCAGGGTTGTGCCCTCCAAGTCTTTGATCATAGCTCGGTGAGGCACGCACCTCGGGGTCATTTTGTATATATATAACCATTATTTACATATATATATATATAACCATTATTTTTAAAATAGACTTTTATTAACTCTCTGCCAGAATCCACAAAAATAAAACATCACTTTCATAGAGATTTTCAAAAAGAATTTCTGCAACAGAAATGATAAGACTCAAAGGAGTATACCCATGTCGTAGCATGGTTTCAAACAAGAAATGTACAATCAACCCAGCCTTTGAAGCTTCACAAACTCATCAAACTTTCACATGGGATACAGATCCGCCCATTCCTCTATCACCTCCTTAGATCTCAACAGAGTCTTAGTAGTGATAGACGAAGAGAGATCTTAGGTTACCAGAGACTCAACCAAAGACAAAGGCCCACACACAATGTGACAAGTGGGTCGTGTCCACCATCTCATCCCCCTGAGTGATATATATAAATACAAGTATGTTACGGAGTCAGATCACCATTCCATTCTACTACCCTTCAAATACCTCTTATGTCATTTCCCATACTACTTCCTACGCTAAGTTTCCTCATCTGAAGGAAGAAAGCACACAACTTGTCTCACTCCTGTTTCTCATGTCCATCTGAAGAAGAAAAACATATTCCCTTGTTCTAATTTACACCTTTCTCTCTCTCATAACTGTCTTTTTAAGCCGATTCAAGTCATAGTTTACTCAAAACATCTACCTATTCCTACCTAGAAATCAACTGGCTGTCCCAGTATCCTGTGAAGTGCTACCCTGCCTCCCTCAGGTATCCTGGGAATGGTCTGCCCTGTGCCGGCCACCAATCTCTTATGACTATCATATTTGGTTTTTCCTTCCTTTATATAAATTGTTAGAATGGAACACTCGTCCCTGAGGTGCCCTTTCCGAGCGCAGAAGAAACATCTCTGTCCAACCATGCTAGGCTTGATTCTCTTTATGTCTGGCTGGATTGAAGTCTCAGTCTGGTCTTCAGCCACCTTTGGTGAGTCCAACTGAGATTTCCTTTGCCTTTTACCCTGTCCTGGCAGAGGCATAGCCACACTCTCACTTACTTCCTTTTCTGGTGCAGGAGGCTCTTCTTTCTTCTCCTCAGTCTGTGCCCCCTTCTCTTCACCCCCTTTTCTTCCCACCATCATCGTGGCTTCCTTTTCTTTCCCCTGTTGGCTCAATCTGAATTCCTCCATTCCTCTCAATATTTCTTCCCATCTTTTCTCCCACTCTTGTCCCAACTTCTTTTTTTCTGAGATTTCATTGTCCAGGTCCTGCCCTAGCACACTTACCTCAGAAACCAGACCATCCACCCTTATTTCCATCTTACCTCTTGTGGTCACTTCCTCTTCCAGTTCTCTGCTCCGCACATTCAGGGTGACCCTCAATTGGCTCATTTCTTTTTGCGATTCCTCCTTCTCTTCCTTCAATTCCCTTACTTCCTTCCTCATTTCTTCCATATCTCTCATCAACTTCGCCACCTGGCCATCCTTCTCATCTTCCTTCTTTCCTATCCCACTTGTCTTTTCCTTGTCCCCAATCGGCCTCTTTTCCTTAGTTCTCTTGACTTTGGGAGGGACCTCCTTTCCCTCTTCATCTTCTTCTACTCCTTCCCCTTTTTCACTCACCCTTTCTTGTACCTCTTTTCTTCCACTCTCAATTGCCATTTTCTTTCCAAGTTTCTTCTTCCTTGGTACCATACTGGCCCCCATGCTTTTTTTCCTCTCCTGTGCTGCCTCCTCCTCTTCCTGTTCATCTCCCTCCGCCTGCTAAGATTCCTTGCTGCTGCTTTTGGGGGAGACCATCGCCTTATTCTTCAACTTCTTCAGAGGTACATTATCCTCTTTTTCATTCTCTTCCTCCTTCCCCTGCGGATCAGTCACTTCTCTTCCAATCCATAGCCCCTTATTTTGCAGCCTTTCCTTCCTTATCTGATCTTGTCTGGCCTGGGTGTAGGCAATCCACAATTCTGCCGTTATCCTTTTCCAGGTCCGACTCCCTTCCACAATTTCTCTTACTTCCTCCTTTTCATCTTTGTCTGATCTCGCGATCGATTGCTTTCGCTTTTCCTCCTCGCTCCATTCGCCCCTCTTAGCGGCCAACTGCAAGCTCTCAACAAAGTCCTCCAGATTGGTCCCATCGAACCTCAAGTCATCCTCCACATCATCCCTTGGGAATTTCCCCATGTCTCTCCATAGTCTCACCTTGCATACCCTCCACCTTGTGCAACCTGCCACCACTCCTTCAATCCTTCTTTTGTACATTCCTGCTTCTCTCACATTCGCAATCCTTTCCTTGTCACCCCATTCTCTCCTGAATGAGTACTCCTAAAGGTCTCGCAGGAAAACTCACAGGCTGTCTCCAGCCCTGTAAATGAGCAGCTCCTCCAGGTTACTTGAGATTCTCTGTTCCCTCCTCTGCCCTCCCTTTCTCAAGGCAGGTCCAAAGGGCCCTGCCACTGCTCCTCTCTGCGCCATGACCTCTTCTTTCCAAGGGTCACGCCTGCACACAGAGAAGGAGCAAATGACAGGTACGAGAGTCAGATTATCACCAAGGCAACATTCCTTGTTAACATAAGTTGACAATGCCCTCCTTTATCAGATACTTACATATACGCACATATCCCCACTTACCCCTATGCATCCATGTACATACACATACATACATATGTATATATATATATATATATATATATATATATATATATATATGTATGTGGCCATATATGTATAAGCATAATCTTGGGCAATTGGGTACATACCCGCATAGGAACTGATACACATATGCATGCCTAAATACCTTCCCAATCTATCCAAGTTTCCGTATCGTAGCTGAGCTTACCTCTTCTCTGACTCGGAACTTCTTCAGTCTAGATCTTGAGACACAGTCCTTCCTTGGAGTCCCATCCATCTCTTCCAGCTCATATGCCCCATGAAGTCTCTGTCTCCTGACTTTGAATGGTCCTAACCACCGTTTGTCCAATTTCCTCGACCACTGCATTTCCAGAGAGGAATCGTAGGGTAATACTGTCTCGCCAACTTGTAGAGGTTCGAGTCTTACCCTAGGTAGCTTGTCCCACCTTTCCTTATCCTTTCCTCTGCTGTCTGCAACGTTCATGGCTGCTTCCTGCACCCTTTCTTCACTGACGCTGATCTGCCTTGCCCTTAAATCTAGCAGTTCCTCCAAAGTTAAGTTATTCTCCAGGTCCTGCCTGCGCTGAGTCTTAAGGAACTTTTCAATAGGAAATGTGGCGTGACGCCCATACCAGAGTGTCGCAGGTGCATACCCAGTCGTCCTTTTTACAGTGATGTTCTCTACAAAGAACACTGTTCTTAGGAACTTTGGCCAGAGATTCGGCTTCCCATAGGTCCATTTGACCAGTAAGTTAGTAACTGTGCTATAGCCTCTCTCAACCGGAGCATTCGCCTGTGGATGAGCCCGAGTCGTATAATTGTCATTGACCCCCAATTCCTTCAGCAATTCTTCCACTTCCCCACATGTGAACTCAGACCCCCTGTCCATTGTAAATTCCAATACGAAAGGATATCTGAGATAATATTCCTTAATACAATCCGTCAGCGTTGCCCCGGTCTTGTTCCTGATTGCTCTGCCATCAACGAACCCTGTAAGGTTGTCCCTGACGTCAAATATATAGTTATATCCTCCAAGACCTAGTGGCATAGCCAGTAGATCCAGGTGAACAACCGCCCCTACTTCCTTGATATATCTAGGATGCAGGGGTTTCTTGTACCTGATAGGCGATCGAATTTGACAGGGCACGCATGATTCACAGTATTTTCGCGTCATCTCAAACATTCCTTCCCAGTAGTAGAGCTCCATCGCCTTCTTATAAGTAGCTGCGAAACTCCGATGTCCTCCGACAATCCCATCATGCAACGCAGCTACTACGTCAATCTGGCGATTCCTTCCACACACGACACGTCACGACGGCCCCCTCTTATCCCTGATGAACAAGTGGCCACCACTCACCACATAGTGGTCTCTCATCCTGAGAGTCTTCTCACTCACTTCTCTCTTTCTTTTATCTCCTGAGAGGAGCAACCCCATCTCTAAATAGAATCCTTCATACTCCTCTTCCCTGAATTCCTCTGAAATTTCTTCTTGTTCGAATTCTCCTTCCTTCTCTTCATCAAACTCGTAATCATCCCTAATAACTATCTCATCGGCCTTCACAATTCCTCTTTCATCATTCGCTTAGACTTGTAATAGCGAATTTGTCAGATAGTACATTCTTCCCATCATGGCTATCTGTTCGTCAGTCTATTGGACTCCTGCTTCGATCGTTCGCGGCTCATCCATTATCCTATAATTCTCTGCCAGGGCCAACTCCATCATCCATTCCGTATTTCTCTCGCCCCAAGAGTCCTCCTCCTCTAATGGCGTGAGTATCAGGGAAGGTTCTCTCATAAATTATGGGGGCGGATGCCACATCGGATTTCCTCTCCTCATTTCCTTACTTTCGACAAACATGAACCAACAGTTCACGTGAGTTCGCATGTCTTTCCCTTCGTCCAAAAACTCGTCTACTGGAGGCGTTTCTTCATTGGATTCTTCCTGATTTCCCCACTCAATTCTGCTCATGCCGTCCGCCCTGTTCTTATTCCCAGGGATCCGCTCTAACTGGAAGTCGAACATCCAGATATAGGTGAGCCATCTAGCTATAGTCGGATCTGAGGGCGAGAAGTTCTTGAGTGAGTACACAAGCGCCGTTGGATCGATCCTGAGTACAAACCTCCTTCCAAAGAGGTAATGCCTAAAGATCCTTAGGCAATGCAGGACCGCAAAGACTTCTCTCTTGAACTGTGCGTAGTTTCTTTCTGTTGAGTTGAGTGTCCTGCTTTCAAATCTCAGCGGCCTCTTCTTCCCTTCACTGTTTGCCTGAATCAAGACGCCTCCCAGGGTGGTTGGTCCAGCGTCAGTTTCAACTATGAAGGGTCTTTCCATAGTTGCATCAAAGTCTGGTACTCCTAGTACCAGACCTGCTTCTCTGAACTCCTTCTTTGATTCTTCCACCACTTCCTCTTGATGGTTTCCCCATTCCCATTCTTGATCCTTCCGGACTAGCTTCCTTAGATGCTCTGTTTTGCTAGCAAATCTTTCTATGAATCTCCTCCAGAATCCACAAGTACCAAGGAAACTTCGGACTTCACCCACATTTCTGAAAGGAGTAGGCCATTCCATGATTTTATTGGTCTTCTTCTTATCAGGGCGCCGACCATGCTCCTTGCAAATGTATCCTAGAATGGTTACCTCTTTCACGCAGTGTCTTGACTTCACACCACTGGCGGTGAGGTTGTATTCTTCTAGTAGAGATAAAACTTCTCTTAATCCCTGAACATGTTTCCATACAAACTTTCTCACCCCTGGAGCCACTTCTGACTCATCCTTCTCTATTGGGCCCTTGATGACAAAATCGTCTATGTACGGCTCGATGATCTGAGGGCTGATTGCTGCATAACCCTGATCATGCTTCGTTGCACCATGACCACAACATTGGTCCATCCTTGCGGCACAACATTCATATGGACTAATCCCCTTGACGTGTGCATCGCCGTGATGGGACGGTCTGCCGGATAGACTGAAAACTGATCATATCCAGAGTAGAGGTCGATGAGGGACATAATCGACCTACCTGCACAAACTTCTGATAACTGGTCAGCATTGGGCAGACCCCTTGCATCCCTTACAGTTACCTCGTTAAGTCGTTGGAGGTCTTGCACCCATCTGAGAACTCCATTTGGCTTTACAAAACAGAACCAGGGAGAGGCATATGGTCCACTGGAGTACCCTGCCACATCCGTGCGGATCTTCCCATCTAGGTACTCTACCACCCTTCTGCGATCCTCAAGGTTGGGATACTTAGCTCCTCGGACGTTCCATGGCTCATGAGGTACAGTATGAATGCGGAACATTTCTATCTTGTCCCCATCCAGCCGCCCACGCTGATCATCGTCGAAGGCATATGCCCCATGTTTTTCACGTATCAGTTCTTTTACCAAGTCCTCCTCTTGCCTTGTGAGAAAGCCAGGTTCCCCTATTATCAGTTCTTTCTTAGTCTCATCGTTGATACGACAATGCCCTTTCTGGATGCCTTCCCTCATTCGCTGTATCAGTTCTCTTTCCTGATCATAATACACTCCTTCTTCTTGACTCACTAGAACTGGTACTGGGTGACTCTTCTTATCTACCGTCTTGTACCTCCTTTTGGAACCCTGCTTGAGCCCATCCCTAAAAAATGTTGGCCGGCAGCTTGAGCATTCGGTGCATGGGGCACTATCATCTGAGAAGAAGGAGGTGGCCGGTAAACGAGATCGACTCTTCCCCCTTCTGGATCGTCTTGGATGCTTTCTGCGAGTGCCCTGACTGCGTCCGGATCAGTCATCCTATAAGCCGATACCAGTTCCACTCCGTCACTGATATTTGTTAGACTTAATACAAGTCTTTTGGCTTCTTCATTATCTGATTCCTCTTCTTCTTCTTCCCATTCCAATTCTCTCTTCCTATTCTCAGATTCCTCGAACGTGTAAGATCCTGCATTGAGCCTGTTCTTCGAGCTGTGCGGACCTGTGTTTCTACAAGTGATAACCTCGAAGTTCCCACAGGCAGGATCGCACAAGATGACGAACATAGTGCCGTCATGCTTGTTCATAATGAGTGATTCAGATCTGCACAGGAATGACCTTCCCAGCAATATTGAAAGGTCCAAGCTGGGCATGACGTAGAAGCACGTACGTACCTTGAATCTTCCTATTTCTATGACCACATTTGACGCGACACCGGTGTATCCGGTCTTGGCGCTGACTCCGTTGAGGAACCCGCAATCATTCTCATCCACCTCCAACCCTAATTTTACCGCGGTTTCTCCATTTACAATATTCATTTCTGCCCCGGTATCAACCATCTCAGGACACATCTTTCCCTTTATCATAACATCAATAGACCCTGTGCCTATGAATTTCCAGTCCATTTTACTCCCTGCCACGCTCCAGTTTGCCTCTTTGGGAATCAAATCCCCCATCCGAACCGAGGCTACTCTTCGGCGTGATAACCTAGACTTCACCATCTCTCTTAACTTAGGAGCTGAAGCGAGGATTTCTTTCAGGTTTAATAGTTCATTATGCCCCTCCAGCAGTTTATTCACCAGGCCTTCCAGATCCACCCCTTCTTCGATCGAGGTTTGATACTTTTTCTTCTTGCTTGGTCTCTTATCCCTTTTTGATCTTCCTTCCTTAGCTTCACCTTTCCTTCTCTTAGCCCTTATCTTAGCCTGCCTTTATTCTTCCTCCCTAATCTTCTCATCCTCATCCTCATCACCCTCTACCGTGATAGGTGGTTTTTCTTCTACTGGCTGGGAAGCGTGGGCTTGTTCCTTTTGAGGATTCCCTACTGCGGGTCTTCTTGTAGCGAATGAAATCGTTCCTCTCAAACTTCTCTGACTTCCACTGTTCCTTGCGGCCATATTGGCTCTCAACATTCTCGGGTAGGGTTCATTTGACCCATCTCCCGTTCCCCCACGCCCCATGGTAAATACCTTTGGGCATCCAACTCCTTCTTTTCCTGCTTCTTCACATATCCCTTGAAGCCTCAGATGTAGCCTCTGCATTTTGTCTACCAAGTCTTCCATCCTATCGAACGTGTCTCTGACGTTAGCCCTAACGTCTTCCTCCTCTGTTTCTTCTTCCACCAGCGGCACGTCTTCCTTGTTTTCTCCAATCCCTATTCTATTCACTTTCTCTTCCAAGTTAGTTATATCTTCCACCTGCACTACTGGTTCTTCCTTTTCCTGCCAAATACGGAACATTCCTGGTGCGTTGGGACCAAGCACGGCCACACGAAGAGCCTCTTCCCTTGTGCCCCCTGGAATCTCAGGATCAATCACCCTACCATTTTGGTCGAACACCTCGCCTTCAATGTTTGATGTTATGAGCCATTCACTCTCATCAAGCTTTCTAACATGACATCGTTTTACCGTGTGTCCTTTGATCGCGCAGTGGGTATAGATGCATTCACTGTAATCAATCCACCCCCTTCTATATCCTTGTCCGTTCCATTGTCCGTTTCCTCTACCATACCCCCTTCCATAGCTTTGGTCGTATCCACGACCATACCCTTGCTGGTATTCCTGTCCAACTGGATTTGCACCCCCTTGGGGCTGCCCCCAGTTCCTGCCTTGGTTTCCACCTCCTCTGTTACCTGCCCCTCGTTCCCCTGGTCCCTGATTTCTACCACCATTCCTACCTCTCCCACGTCCTTGTCCGTGTCCCTGTCCTTGTCCTTGTCCTTGGGACCTATTCTGGTTCTGGCCACCCTGGCGACTTGATCCCGGTTGGTTCTGCCCGGTCAGTTGAAGTTGTCCCATGTTTTGTTCTCCTCCCAAATTCTGATTCTGGGGTATCATGGGATATGGACCCTGCCCAGGCCATGGCCTTATCGGGAAGTACCCAGGCCATGCTCCCATAGGCGGACCCACGGGCCATTGTCCATATTGTGCTGTGCTGCTTGACGGTTCATGTCCATACTGGACTATCGCTTGTTGAGTTACTTGTCCTTTTCCCGAGCCTTGTCCCTCAATAGCGATATTTTTAGCCTTCCTTTGACACTTTGTCAGTTTGCCCGTTTCTTCTGGTCCTCCATCTTCTGCCTCTTCCTCTCCATCTTCCTCTTCCTTCCTTTTCTTTCCTGATGGTTGTGTCACTGTTAATAATTTCGATGGTGTCACCCTTTCCCTAAACTATTTTATCTCGTTGGCCATATTGCTCAATACTCCCCCAAGTATACTATACGTTCCTTGGATCGTCCCTGCTGCCTTTCTTTTTTTCCGTTCGACCTTTATTTGGTGATGAAACACTTGGTCCATGTCTCCTGCCGCGATGTTCCTCTTTATGGTTTCCCAGGTCGTCTTTTTCCAGGCGGCCCCCCCTCGAGTTAGTTCCATTGCCTCATACCCAGAGAATTTCCCTAGGTATATATGACGCACTGCATTTCTTCAGACAGTCCTGGGACCCTCTCGACAGTCTTTTCGAATTTATTGGCGAATGCCCTGATCGTGGTGAAGTCATCTTTGTTCATGTTATAGAGATGGTCAATTGTAAGCAGGTCATCTCCTAGCTTAAACGTTTTTTGCATGCCCTTTTTAAACTCAGCCGAATCATTGTTGGACTTTCTCACTACCTTTTCTACGTCAGAGGTGCACTCCCACCATACGTACTCGAATAATTGGGCAAACTTCTCGGTTGGGGTCAATTGGTTGAATATCTGCTCGAGTAGTTCCAACGAATGTGTCACCCTATCCCCTTTGAAAGGGAAGATGTCTATCCTTGGTAGGTTAGATCTTTTTATCGTCCTCTTTTCCAGCATCTTGGCGATTTCCGCCGCGGTGATCGGCGGATCTCCATTGGCGCTGGCTTCGCCCATCTCTTTCTCTCTTTCCTTTTTGGTTCCTGCTAGACTGTAGACCCTGTTAAGACACACAAAATGACCATTGATCCACCTTCTTCGTCACTATCTTGTCGTGTCCTTCATTCTTGTCACTTAACTTACCCTATGCGACTTCTCATATCCCTTTTCTCTCAACCGAGTATCTCTTCTAGGAGCATCCAGTCCCCGTGCCAAAAGCTCCTAACCATACCAAATAAGGAAGAGATTTCATCTATGAATTCTTCAATACATGCTTCCCAACAAAGATTGCGTCAGTAGGTCGAGAGATCTTCAAAATGATAAGTGCGTAGGTACGTGTTTACTACGCATAATACGTTATAGAAATCCCTACTCTTTCGTTTTGGTCCCATCTCCAAATATAGGCGGTAAACAACTTCCGATGCCTCGAATTCGAAGCCCATCTCTGGAACTGATTGGGCTGCGAGTACTACTCGTTCTATATTCTCAATCCCCCAAAACGCTTCATCAATTATGAAGCTCGGAAGTGTGGCTTTAGTGTGCCTTGTTGGATATACGAAATCAGCGGCCCACTTTGCTTCGATTGATTTTATAACTACTCCTTCTTCTCCTTGAAAATGCGTCAAGGGCCATTCCGGCAATCAACACGTATCTAGAGACGGGGCGACTTATTCCTATCGCAAGATCGATCGAGTATGCCCTCCAGAGAAGGGTTGGTTGATAAAGAGTCACTTTCACTATTGCCTGCCTTTCCCTTGTGGTCCACCCAGTTTCTATCCAAAGGAAGGCTTCCTGTCCTATCGGTATCCCGCACCATGACTCCATTTCCTCATCCAAATCTATTGTCCTCTTCGGTAGTGTCATTTTGACTCCTCCTTCCCTTGGCTCTGGCAGGTTGATCAGGAAGCTCCGATCAACGAACCACATCAAAGGAGCCATCCTGGTATACCTGTTACAACAGCCAAAGAAAGAACCCTTCTCTTCTTAGTAACGGCTCAATTTCCCCGTATCTTAACAATTTTCTATCTCAATCTTCCTTGAGCACCTCTTTCTATTTGATCGAGGATCCCCTGTTTCAGTTCCTCCCAGTAGACATGCCTATTTTCCCAATCGTGCTGACGTGCATATGAATCGATCCTTGCTAGTATGTCTTGAGGATCCCTTCCTTCAATCAAATGCCCTATCTCTAGGTATATGTAGTATACCAGCAAAGGGGTAGATGCATGATATTCTCTCTCAGGTATTATCATTGCGGCTTCCGCAGCCCTTTCCACTCGGGTCCTTCCTCCGAAGGTTGCATCTACGATGAACATAGGAAGGGTCCCTCTTAGATATGCTGTCGGCGGAAGAAAATCGTTAGCCTTTCTTACCCTCACAGTTCCTATCATTCCTTCAAACCTATTCAAGCTTGCACCTCTTCTCCTTGACTCGAGCGCGGATTCTGCTATCCACAATAGTCTGGAAAGAGATCGATCAGTTCCTAAGATTAAATTTATTATGATAGTTTGCAATTTCTCCGAAGAAAGATACACGGTAACCCTTTCTACCGCGCGATTTTCGCCTCTAACCCATCCAGACTCGATCCAAATGAAAGTTTGTTCCTCTACAGAAATCCCCCAACAATACCCCGTCTCCTCGTTCTCCATATGACGACTTGGCAGATTCATCATCAGACCACGCCTTATTTGCACGGGCTCTCTGATCGTGACTTGATATCGGGCAGAAACCATCTTCTTTTCTTTGGTATACCCCTCCTACTACACAACACAATCCAACCCACATCTCTTTTATTTTAGCTAGTAGACTTATAATCTGAAGATCTGACTGATTCTCCTTTCTATCTCATCATCTCCTTTGATCCTTTTGAATCTTTATATAATCTTTTTGTACAGTAAGTATGTTACTAACCCACAAATCTCTATTTGACATAGTAGAAACATTAAAAGCGATATGCACATCCTC